ACTTTCTCGTTACGCGATTTTTATACTTGCACGATAATCTATGCCCGGAAAATTAAATAACCGTTGACAGTCGACGGTCTCGAATCGATTTTTACAGATGATTCACGGCGTTTGGTCGTTCGTATTAAAATCGCATAAAAAAAAAAAAAAAAAAACGTATTTTATACACGTTTTCGTGGTCGCTGTTATTTCATCAACAGGTCCGGTGAATATCACAATACGGATGCGTAAACATAATATTGCACCGGCCGTATATTTACAGTGTAATATACACAGTATACGCTCGTGCACGCACACACGCGCGCACACACACACACACACACACACACGCATATATATATACATACGTATATGCATATAAAGAGCCTACGAGCAGGTATAGCATGCAGTTAGCCGTCGCGTTTAATTAAAAAGGGTCGGATTTACAATCCGACGAGATCGCCCCGAACGAGACGTACCGCCGCCGTCGCCGCCGCCGCCGTCGATCCGCGCAACAAAGGGCGAGTTTTAATCTAAACGCAGGTGAAACGCTCGCGACGCCCCCGGTCGGTTGTACCGCGGGAGCGGCGGTGGGCGGGCGGGAGGAGGGGGGGGTTAAACGATAATTGTCGTCGTCGTTTACTCGCCGTCCGCCATTCGGCCGACCGCCACCCCGCAAACGGTCGGCACTGTACGGCACCGAGAGCGCCGCGAGATAACACGCGCGCCACAACGGCGTAATATGTTTTACGCGCGCCCCGCGGTCCGTGAATGAAATCAATTTCCACCGAGACGAAAACGCCCGAGCCGCTGGTCCGCGCGATTATCTCGCCGCCGGTCCGCGCGATTGTCTCGCCGCCGGGCCGAACGCGGCCGGACGCGTCGCCGAGAAAGCGGTACGACACGGTGACCGGCCGCCGGCGGCCCGCCGGCTCTCGTAATGTCGTCGCGCGTCCATAAGGAACAATAACCCGCCGTTCGCCGACGGCACGCCTGCCGTTTCAAAGATCCGACGCTATTGTTTTGTCGCGCATGCGCGTGTGCACAACGCTCCCGCGTGCACACAAACGGTGCCCGCGGTGCCCGCGTCGCGGAACAACCGGACGGACGGCGCGCGAAGGTCGCGTTTGTGAAACTACACGCCGGCGGAGTCGAACGATCAAAACGTCCGTCGCGCTCGCGTTTCGACCGTGTAAATCTGCGTAGTCCGGTTATCGATCGGACAGACGAACGGATATCGTAGCCAATCGTTCGGTTTGCCGCGTGTCCGCGTGCCGCCTGACCACCTCTCGCCGCGTGTTCGCCGTTTAACGCCGCGCACGCGAATGCGTCGCGGATCCGATAACAACAATTTGGGCGTCACTTGATCGCGGACAACGGAAACGAGATTGTTGAGACTGCGCATCACCTATTTTTTGTCCAAAAAAAAAAATAATGTTTTACAGGATTAGCTGTCCTGCCACGCAGAGCAGCGGCACGGTGTCGGAATCTACTTTTTAGATTCGGAGCGTACCACGAGGGATCAATTGGTTTTACTATAATGCGTGTTTTTGTTTTTGTTTTTTTTTTTTTTTTTTGTCTGCGAACAACTTTTCTACCGGAAAACTTGCTCTAAAGACTATAGCGTCTTTTCTGAAAAGTTATTTTCTCTCGTTGGTGCGTTGCGGAGATAATTTTATGATTTTTCGAGGGGTTTACGAACTAATTGGGAAACACCTGAAAAAAAATTATAGGTAAAACGGCACATATTTACAGCGTGGTGTTGCCGTTTTAATTTTTTTTATTATATTAACACGATGTTTTTCACCAGAAATTTTGCTCCAATTCAGAAATGACGAAAGATCGATTATGTTCATTATAATATTTCGTCGTTGACATAGTCAGTCATTTTTCGATGTCTGAACAATTTTTCATGATAATTAGGAAAAACAAAAAAAGACGAAATATATTTATTTTTTTTTTTCAAATTACGGCACAATGATTTCAATATTTTAAATTGTTACGGTTTATGTTTTCTGCCATAAACAATATTCCAATAAAAAACATCGGAAAAATTGTATTTGTTTATTTTAAATCTAGTTGGTGACCGAGAAAGTTAGTTATTATCTTATGTAGTAAAATAACTGGTCTTTTTTGTGTTTCAATTTTCTGACTACACTAATTAATTTTTTTCAATTTTTTTTTTTCTGTAGAGTTGTTCCAAATGCTTTCCTGATTGTCCTTACATCGGCAATTTTTCTAAAATTCAACCCCTAAGGGAGTTAAAAAGGGGTTTCGGGTATTTTCAGTTTGAATATCAAATTATTTATTTATGGGTTACCTTGGAGAGACGGATGGAAAAATAAAGTTAAAACAAATAAACCAACAAAAAATACACACGGGCGAAGCAGGGTAATTCAGCTAGTATGTGTGTATAATGTTTACTATATTTTTACGGTCCTGTTTTTATTAATCTCGTAATATAATAGAGCAACGATGTCGTCTAGACTTATGATTTTAAATTTTAATACTCGACACCATTCACCGTCCTAGTTTATTTTATTATTACTATCGACTCGAATATCCCCAAAGCAGCAATATTCTGCTCGCATACTACAGCACCCATAATGACTTATTTTGTACAAGTTTACATTATACAACTCATCAATTACGCTAATAATATAACGTCGTTCCCGCGATCGATTAATGAAACATGAAAACGAACATAAAATCACCTTATCTACAGCAACATCACGTCGTCCGAATAAAATCGCAAAATTCATATAACATTACAATATAACAACCAGCGTTATGTTTTATCTAAATAATTAATATCTATTTAGGTTTGTTTCTTATATTTTAACTAGTCTATAGATAAATGAGAAATAAGTTTTCTTGGTTGTTACCCGTGATAAATATTTGAACTATTTAGGTAAACATTTTTAAATCGCAATAATTCATATTTATTTATAAAAAAACGATGTGTAAAATATTGTGTAAAACGTATAATATTAATATGATTTGATAAATGAACTATTGAGTTACATATCAATCATAGGCATCAATTCTTAAAATATCATTGGGAGCTCACTATATCAGGGGGGGATACATAATGGGCATGGGAGGCTGCATCGATGCTTTTCCGAATCTCAAAAAAAAAAAAAAAAAATTTGCTTTATAATTTTTGTTATAAGTGTATAATATATATACGTATCCATATTTAATGATATTTTATCACAAGACATAAACCAACAATATTGTAATAGAACTGATATAGGTGGGAAATCGGGACAGCAGTGTATATAAAGTTATTTAGTTTATACCTATATGCAACGATAAACTATTTGGATTGATATTAGGTTATAAATATTTTGAAAGGTCGTATATTTTCGTGAAAATTTGATTCTAAAACTCTCATAAAAAAAACAAAAATTGCATTGCCCATTTGTTGAACAATTTTTGTACCACTAATTACAACTTCTAATAAACTTCCTTTTAAATTGTTAAGTATTTCTGTTTAGTCAAACAAATTGTATCCACATAGAATCTATCAAATAAAAATTACGTAAAAATCTTGCAAAATTAAAATACCTACGAAAAGCTCAAAAATTACCAATTTTTACCATATTTAGAAATACCATATATAAAACTTGTGTCAAAATTTCAAGTCTATGTAAATATTAAACTGAATTATAACAATAAAACTAGGTACATTTAGTTAGCTGTTATTTATGTAAACTCCCCTGTTTTGTTTTAGGTTTGCTCAATCATCACAAAAACTACAGGGGAAAACAATAAATTACTTTCATGTTCACCAGTAAGGTTAAAAATTCAACAAAATAAGACCCCTTTTTTTTCTATTTTATAAGTAGAAAATATTGTGTGTATAAATTTAAAATAATGAAATCATATGCTATAAATTTGTTCGTTTTACATTTTTCACCTTTTCCCGTCTTTTCTCAATTATTGTGAAAACAACTTAGAAAATTTAAAAACGACCTTCTTCACGGGTATTCAGATCCAAAATTCAACAAAAATGTTCAACTGTCGTTATTCTAATTGAGTAGTATTTCTGATAGTAAACATAGTTTGCAAAAATTAAAAACAATGAAATCAGTAAGCGCCGGAAATATATTTGTCGTTTTATCCATAAGTAATTTTCTTTTCAGTGTTTCGCAATTGTTTCGAAAAATCCCTTGGAAACCGAAAAATAATCTCTCTGATGTACCAATTAAATACAATTTTCTTTCAGGAAAAATATTACATTCCATATCGGAGTAAGATTTTTGGTAGAAAATGTATTTACAGACCTCCCTCACCCCTTCTCCCCAAAATACATATCGTATTAAAACTAATAGATTCCCCGCTACGCTCCAAATCTAAAAGTGCACATTTTATTTTTTATTTAGAAAATGCGTATTTTTCCGCACTTGGGAATTGCCATTAAATTGGTATGTAAACAATTCTAAATCGGTTTCATCTTATAATCTTTATTATTCCAATTCACACTAGAATATCTACAAAATTGATATTCACAAATACATTTATCTTTCTCAGTTAATTTTTGGTTTTGTAGATCATGAAAAAATTAATTATTATTATTATTATTATTATTTTGTCATGTTTAAAATAATTTCAATATTATGTGGATATACTTGATAGATATGAATACTTCTTTAATAAAAATTATAGGAGAAGAAACCCCGTATTATAACTATCAGGCTTTAGCCCTTCACCAATCCTGTTCATGGCACCTATGATATCAATCACTCAACCTGTTTGAAACCTGAATGTGAATACAATTCAATATATTTATAAAATCACTCTGTATACTACTAATATTATGTTTAGACCATCCACGAATTATTAACACGAATGTGTCAACACATATTAAATTATACTGAACATTCGCGTTTCCAGGACAACTAAATTTAATTTTAAACAAGTCAGATTTGCCCGAAATAAATATTTTCTGACAGAATTATTGCACCCCAGGACTCGTTTTTTACCTAAGATTTAACGTGAATTGCTAAACCGTAGACATGGGCCACACAGAACCTAATGTAGAATGGATTGTAGATTTGTTGGACTGCTATGCAAAAGAATACGAGGACGATATCAGAAGCGGAAAGGCGAAGACTTTTCCGGTAACGGATAGCCTATCACTCTTGCAGAAATTTAAGATGTGGAGGCCGTTACCGCTGGTCCCATTGTCGGTGGCGGTGACTGAAAGTTTTACTCCAAATTCACTAGACTCTGAATCCAGACATACAACAATTATTGAAGGTAAGTTTTATTTTTCAAATCACAGGCTCTATATTTGAATTCAAAATTGTCAGTTATTAAAATTACCACGTTTATAATGTGTAGTCACTAATACATACAAAATTTTTAAAATAAAACTGTACGTATTGAAAAAATAATAAATATTTTATGTTAATCATTTTTGTAGTGTTTGAAAATTCAATTTAACGAGTTAAAATTGTTAGAAAGGAAATATTTAAACCTCTCTATTATTTTTGTATTTTAAAGTGCTTTTTCCAGAATCCAGGGCTTTTTTACGTTTTGAAGTGTTTACGTTGTGATCTGAAACACGGTTATCTATTAATTACGATTATTTACAAATTAATAGAATGATATTGTTAATTATATAGTATAATGAGTATACAATTTCTTAGACATATTTTGATGTTGCGTAAAATTGTAGAATCTAAAATATCGGTGAAATTTGTAATCATAAGAATTAAGTAGTAAGCTAAATAAAACATTTAGGGCTATTTGTTTAGAAAAATCGACTATTACAGGTACACAATACTACTGTTTCTGAATTATAATTTTAGTTGCGATTTATTTTTAACCAAATAACATATAATACAAACCTTTGAGCGATATTTATTTATGGGGTGTTTAAGCGCAGATGATTGACCATTTAATTCAACGAATAACTCATGTAATAACGGTTAGGTACCTAATTATTGTCGACTATGCAATTCAGTTTTATGGATATTAACTGAATTTGTGACACTCAAATTAATTTAACTAACATTTAAACGACTATACATACGGGTGTAAATCGTTTATGAATTTAATACATATCTATTCTTTCCATTCGCAGTTGATGATAATAACTCATGTCTAATGATAAAGTCAATGACGTTATTAACAAAATATTTGAAATAGATTACCACGTAAATTCGAATAATGAATTAAAAACTAATTCATTTGATTTTTAAAGAACTTGAAAATTTATTGTAAAAACTTAAAAATAATGAAAATATAAAATATATATTTTTCTATTTTTTTTTCATCCCGAATATTTGGAGTCACCCACTCTCGCCTTGAATTTCCACTTGACTCTCCCTACACCGTCTTTGCATATACCAGCCTCCATCATAAAATGATTCCAAATTGCATCCAACCACCTCTTTTTTGGACTTCCTTTTCTCCTTCTTTCTCCAACGTTAGTAAAATTACGGCTTCTGATTATTTTCTTCTTATATTATGTTTAAGCCATATCAGATTATTTTCTCTTATTTTTTCTACTATCGTGAAGACAAGCCTATACTACCTCTTGCGTACTTATCCCTTATCCAATATTTTATTTTTCTGTCTACCATCACTGGATAACGGAAAAAAAAATACTCCGTAGCATACATTATCGGCCTCACTACACTTTAGTACAACTTAATATTTCAGTCCCATTGGAATCATATCACATAAAGACCAAAAACTCCTAACGTTTTTCTCAACGCCCTGAGGTTAATGACATTATACAGTATTTTATATTGAGGTATTTGAAAATAGTTTAAACGTTTTTCAGTACCTAATGGTCCACACTGTCTATATTCTCATATGAGTTTCATAATTAGAGAAAATTTCGCAGGCACCCAAGACGGTCAACCAGATGTCGGCCACCATATTGTAGAACGTTCAGTCGAATATGCCTCTCAGTATAATATAAGTGATGGCGGTGGTGAAAACGAAATCGCCGGTGGCGATAGGCAAAAGTGTCTGGAAAGATCAAAAGTGCATCTACCGGCCAAAACGTCTTGGTATCATCGGTTGTTTAGCTACGAAACAAACCAGAAAGACCACGGAAACCGAGAGCCACGTGTTCCGTTCAAGGTTAAGCGTATGCCTATCAGGTAAATATGAGAAAATGATAAGAATATTCGCAACAAAAATCTTTTTGTGAAAAAAACGTCAAGTCCCAGATCTCCTCCCAAAAAAAGTGAACCAATCAAATTTTTAATGTATTCATTATATATATTGTCCAATTCTGCCATTTTTATAAAACTGGCCAAGTATTAGGCAACACAAAAAAAGAGCAGTTTTAGTCACAATGTGAATATCATTATTTCGATAGACAGACTCTTTTGAGATAGGGTCTGGGAATTATTATTTTTCACGGTTAGGTTTTTGTTTGTGGTTTTTTTTTCGGTTTCCTTATAGGTTAAGACATTTATTTTATTTTTTCACCAACCCGGTCGTTTATAATAATAAAACTGTATAAACGACAATAATTTTTCTGGTATTTAGTCGTCCATCGGCGACGTTATTAATTTGATTTTCGATATTTTTTCCACGTAAACGTTTACCTTCGGTAGTGTCGTTTATACGTCGGTTTATTATTATATAAGAAAAATGGCCGACCCGTTTTTAGATACTTTATCTCACGTGGGACTTTTTCGTAAAAACTTCCGAAAACCGCCGTAAGTGGTTCAGAATATTAAACGTGCTTTTCTTATATACATTGTAAGTTTGTTGGAAGTTTAACCATCAACTACTCCACGACCCCACCGCAACCGCGGCTCGTATCAATTTGCATATTAGCACATCGAAAAACTACCCTTTGCCCTACCCCCGCAGCACGTACACCGAAGACGCCACCACGTACGTGTGTTCCCTTTGACGACAACTTTTATCATCGGATGAAAGTTTTCAACAGTTGCCACCGTCGCCGCACTATACCGACGTGATGATAACTTCTAACGATGACGTCGTCATCTCATCGTCGTTCACAACGAGAATTTATCCGAGACACCTATCCGTCTTATTATACCATAATAATACAGAGAACTTGCGTGATAGATGCATTCCCCATAGTATTCATTCTTATACATAAGATTAAAAATTAGGGCAGACCTTAAAAATGTGCATGCTTTAAAAATATACCTTTAAAAAAAAAAAAAAAATGGATCTGAAAATCAACATATTATTTTTTATAAAAACTCAATAAAAAAAAAAATATAATATAGATATATAAATAAAATATGGTCTATAATGTCATAATAAGATCTGATATGTATATAACGGATAATATTTTAACTAAAACTCGAGTACTATAGTAATCAGATAACCTGCTCTTATTTATACATTTTGAACAATTATTTTGAATTTGTCGAGTTATGATTTAGTACGTTAGTGGACTTAAAAAAAAATAATCTAAAATAGATAATTTGAATTGTTTTAGTTTTGAAATACTCGATAAAATTGATTTTCACGCGGGAGTTATTACTATTTCATTTATGCATATGTATATTGTATACAATATTATTATCATATTATATACATTTTGTGTGGTAAAATATCAATGTTATTATGCTTGTAGTTACAACTGATATCCCAACAATGCATTTTGGTTTTACTACGTTCTGCGATAGTGTGTGTACTATTATTATTATTATTACTTGTATAAATATTACGGCTCAAACGAACAAAACAACACTCGTCAACATTGAACACCATTCATCTGTCATTATAAAATTGTTATATTTAATTTACGTCGTTAATTTGCAAATGGGTTTACAACTATTCATTTCACTCTGTCTGTTACTGATTTTCTTTTCAACAACAAATACGAATTGTCTGACTGTTTAAAACTCTATTTAATTCATTAAACATTATTTTCCGATAACCGGGGTGCTTTTTTTCTATATAAAAACACAGAGTTTCTTATAACTGCGTTTTTCCATTGACAGATCCCCTGATCAGTCGATGTATTGATCCCGTAACAATGACGAAAATCGCGTTGCACTGTTTTTATCGATTCACATTTGTAAGATTAGCTTCTGTTGTCCGGTCGAAATATTATCGAAGACTAAGTTATTACCATGAATGATAAATTTTTTTGAAATTTTTAGAATATTTAGAATACGCCATTCTAAAATTTGCTTTAATATGAAATTAGTCTATATTTTGTTAAGATTATGAATTGGATTACAATCGTTTTAAATAACAATGCATTATTTATTTGTTCATATTATAAAGCATATACATAACCGTATTGCAATATACCATTATTGAACTCAGGGACACCGGAAACCATTTATTTTTAATTCCATTTCACTTTTAGAACTTTGACTTACGCCTACTCCCGTCAAAAACTTATTCCATCAATAACTTACTGAAAAATGCATTCTTATGTATATTAATCGTTAACATTTAATCAATATGATTGTGTGAACGTATGAAGAAATTTCATATAGCAACATATACAAGTGCATTTTGTTGCTTATTATACAAATTAAAAGTTAGATTATTTATGAACTTGTGTATACAGTTGATTCATTTTTTAATGTTTATATTATAAACATGGTAAACAAGATCGTTTGTGTTTTTAAAATTAAAAAGTGCTTTACAGTCGTCAGTTTTAAGAATATCATTGTCAAATGAATTCGGAGGAAAAATATACCTACTTAAAATAAAAAAAAAAAAAGTTTAATTTATACAGGCTATATAAACAGAAATATGGTTTCTGTACATTTAACTTAAAGAACTCGTATAAATTACGCAGTGTATTTCAATGTTTAGGTTATTTGATGGTATGGAAAAAAGTAAAAATAATAACAGTCTTTTATTTTAATGTTATGTATTTTTTCTTAATGCAGTTTATCAGGATTTAAAAACTACTATAATATGTTTTTTATTAAACAAAAATATATTAATCATTGTATTCGACTATGGGTCAATTTCACGGTTTTTGAAATTTCTATACATACTCCAATACCTCGAGTACACGATTTTTAATCACTCGCAGTGAAGGAAAATATTTTATGCTTGAAAACAAATTTATGCTTCTAATAATATTATAAATCAATTTTTTTTTAAACATTTTATGTCAGTGTGTCTGACAGCATAATCAACTATACATATGTATATATAGGTGTACGTAGTTGAATTTTATACAAATTTATCAAATACTATTCCTGGTTTACCCGACGTACATAGTACTTGTCACTCGCACAATACCTTCGGTGTAATCAGTAAAAATAGTGCGAGTGCGAGTGGAAAGGGCAAGTACGATTGAATAGAACCGAGTTCTATTTACTAACGAAAGTAAGTAACTAACGCCTTCACTATACACTATACAACTCTACACTCTACTCATGGCTACACTAGCAACGTCGGTCCGGCCAGGTGATGCTAATTAATCATCATAACTTCTATATATTAACTTATCAATTATATTATCACTTATTATTACTATTCAATGTTTGGTAGTTATAATACAAAAATCAGTATAACAAAATGCATTATAACTACCTTGTTACAATATATACTACTGGGATCGCTTATTAAGTTGTGTTGTACGTGTGGCCGCGTGTTGTCCTATTGCGAGTGACGTATACCCGTGCGAGTAACAAGTGACAAGTACTACGCATAGTGTAAACCAAACACTAAACCGATTAGTTAAACACCGTGTTATACGTGTACACTCCAATAAACAAATTGTATAAAACGGATGTCCGTGAAGTTACCCCCCTTCCCTATCGACTTTGTTCAGTCGATTCGAAAAATATGCCAACATTCCACAAATCAATTGCAAATCAATTTTTCAAATTTGCAAACCAGTAATTTTTTTTTAGTGAGCTATTGAACAATCCGGCCCGCCCATCGATTTTATGAATATCTTTACTATTTATTTTATCATGAAATTTATGTATGCAATTAAATAAGATTTGTATGGTAATAATTTCCAGGAAACAACCTTTAGAGTTTTATTAAATTATTTGATATTATTTAATTTTTGTTTTAATTTACCTACCCTCCCCCCTTCTAATTTCTTCTTACTGAATTTGTTGGTCCGTTGAAGACCATTGAAATCTACTTATCTATTACGGAATTTTCTACAAACCTTTTATTTTACTATATTACTGAATCTGAACGGTTTATTTGCCAATTCTAAAAATCACTTTACAATTATGTGCAATAGAATCCGAAAATATCTACATACTTTTGAATCGATCGGAAATAGTGGAGGGGCAAATTTCACGGACACATTAAACGGTCGACTAATCAGACATGTATAATTTTATTATCAATATTGTTAACTACATTTGATTTTTGTTTTTTTTTTTTTATTTAGAAACGCGAAGTGATACTGTAAACTATCGAAAATTTATGATATCAAACACGTTTCAAGTATTGTTTTTACATGTCATGTCACGACAACGGAATTAGAAAATCGCACAAAACGAATAAAACATCATATAAACACGTTATATTTATTGATCCGGTAAACGCTTTAGTTTTAGTAATTTAGCACTAAAGGCCGCGGAAAATCTGCAACAAAATTTCCATAAGCTTTTAACGAAAATTATTTATGGCCGACCATTATTCCACAGGTCCGTCTCGCAATCCTTTGCCGCTATCGTGCAAGAATACTATAATTCGAGAAACCGACTACACAAGGATGGCTCGCTTCATTACCATGAACATTATCGCTTTACCCTCCAAATATACTAACTTTGAACTGTACCCAAAACTTCTGTCCCTTTGGTAGTATTAATTTCATTCAAAAACTTATATAAATAAATTAAAAAAATCAAATTGCCTCAAAAGTCTCTCTTTTTACCTTTTCGATTCATTCGGTTTTTATTTTAATTTTTGTATCTTTTACCCCAGAGTCTCCTTAAATTTAATTAAACGTCTTTTATACAGTTAGAAAGGTATTACCTACCTATATATATATATATAGACGGTTTCACGGGTAAGGTAATAAAAGCGAAGTGCATACCACGGCAACACGGACGGAATTTCGACAATTCGATTATACGTCTACATTATTATTATTATTATTATTATTGTTTGAAAAATAGAGTTTTTGAGAGAGCGACTATAAGACTGCTATGGTAGCATGGATTACT